AGCCGGATGTAAGGAAGATTAAAACCAGCAATAATTGTGCAATTGGTTAGCACTGAAATGTACATAAGATAGTAGTAATCTTTTGGAAGCTACAACGGCATTTAAATAGTTCTCGTTCCACAGAGAACGTCGAACTTTCTCGTTTTTTTCATGGTTGACCGCTGTAATCCCCGACATTCTGCTCGCACAGGTTAACCTAGAGAACAGAAAATTTTAGACATGTATGATCAAACGATGTAGTAAATGTGGAGGAACGGCAAATAACGTTGAAGCAATTAGCATGTATGCATTCGGTGGATAGACATTTACTTTGAGACTCTCTACTCAGGAAAGGTGTGCCTGAGAAATATGTAAATATTATCCGAGGGTTATACGCGCGTAGCTCGGGAAGAGTGAGGACTTACGGAAAGATGTCGTCGTCCTTTACTATCTCCAGCGGTGTGAGACAAGGATGCCCGGTGTCACCTTTCATCTTCAACTTCGCTATTGATAAAGTTATGGAAACTGCGTTCACAGGCCACGACTTAGAAGGTGTGGAGCTACTCCCACGAGAAAGACTTTTTGACTTAGAGTTTGCTGATGATATTGTCCTAATCTGTGACAGTTCACAAACTTGCCGAGCGGCACTGAACAGATTAGCACTTGCTGTCAGCCGCTTCGGGATTTACTTTGCATCATCGAAGTGCAAATCGCTCCTCCAAGATTGGTCTCGATCGCCTCCTATGCTGACCCTTGGTGGGGATCAGCTAGAAGTCGTTCAGAAATTCAACTACCTGGGAAGTTGTATTAGCGCCCGTGGGATTGAAGATGAGATCACGAACCGTATAGCAAAAGCTCGGGACACTTTTGCTAACCTTCGCAACTTATGGCGCCGGCGCGACATCACTCTTGCCAGGAAGGGTAGAGTTTACAATGCAGCGGCACGTTCGACCCTATTGTACGGTTATGAAAACTGGCCGCTTAAAGCAACGGATCTGAAGAGGCTAGTTACGTTCGACCACCGGTGTCTTCGCAATTTAGCTCACATCTGGTGGGAACACCGCGTGAGCAACGAGCGTGTTCGACACCTTGTTTACGACACAGGAAAAGGAAATGAACCGCTCAGCACCGTTATTTCACGCACCAGGCTCCGATGGCTGGGCCACGTGTTGAGCATGCCAGCCCACCGACTCTCGCGACGTACGTTGTTTGCGCGCCCGGAATGTGGATGGAAGAAAAGGAGGGGTGTCCAAGTGACGACTTAGTCGAGAGGAATGAAGGCCCTCACTTCCAAGCTGGTCTCGGTTGGAGCGTCTCGGCTCCCTGGTTGGGGTCCGAAAGGCGATGCACACGTTTGGCTGGATACAATTGTTGATATGGCTAGGAGCCGACCTCAGTGGCGTTGCTGCTGTGAGTTCCTTTGTCCCACCCCACCCATCTTGCCCATTCCCTCCAACCCCGATCCCACTATTCAGCCTTATGTAATTTTGTATAGTAATTTTATTCTTTGATGTACAGTAGCCGGCTGGTAGCTTACAGGAACGATGCCCATCCGTTACCAGTAGCTCAGCCTGCTTGCACCAGTTGCATTTTTTCTTTTTTCTTCTATTTATTGAGACACAGTAGCTAAGGTGTTTCCCATTTTTAGCTAACGTGGATAATGATGATGAGCATGTATGCAGTATTCCTAGGGTTTTCTCTGGTTTCAGTTTTTCTTAGTTTGTTGTACGTTACAGACAAAGGTATGCGAAAAATACAAAGGCAAAATGTTTCCGCCAATAGTTGAAAATCGAACCGGCTCACGAACCTTCCGACCACGGCTATTTGTCTTCGAAGTTGGTCGATAGTCGCAGAATGATTGTAATTTGTAAACTGATGTCGGAATTTAAATCCATAATGCTCCTTAGCGGAATCCTGACGCCGTGTTTTATGCTTATCTTGAGCGATTATGAGATGATGGGGAGATATTATCCCATCTACGGAAGCTGGTATCCATCGATCAATGGCAAGGACTTCTCGTCGGCAACGTTTATCGGTTGTGTATGTCTTGTTCGAGTCCTATCACTCTTAGAATACTGCATGTTCGAGTCTTATCGGGGTCACCAACATGTAGGTCTAGTGAACTTCCCTGCTTAATAAGGAACATCATCAAAGTTCAATATTAGAAAGCGAATGGAGTAGAGTATAGCAGAGAGTAATTGGGTGTTGCCCGCTCGAAAACACTGCATTACTATGACGTGTTTCTATGTTATTACCTCACATCAGATGGAGTTAGCAGGCATCGAACCCGAGACCATCAACATGTTAGTTGTGACCGCTACCCGTAAGTCACCGGGTCACGGGCAACGCTTGTCACGGCGGTTTGATGAACAATGTTGAGGGTTATTTTGGCTTACGGGTAGCGGCCGCAACTAACATCCTCATGGTCCCAGGTTCGATGCCTGCTATCTCTATCTGATGAGATGTAATAACTTCGAAACACGTCGTGATTATGCAGTGTTTTTGAGCGGGCAAAACCCAATTTCTATCTGCATCAGCTACGATCCTCGTAATCGAAATACTAAGGTTCAATTCAATGGGAATCGCGGTCAACATTGAGATTGCGCGTTGCAATCCATCCACACAACGTGCACTTCAAAATGACCCTCAACATAGCATAGAGTATTTGGGAGAGTTGCAGTGAGACGTGAACAAATGTTGCCAGCGGCAACAAACGTCAATACCATAACTCATTGACCAAGTACATTGTACATAGTGCCATGGACTATGGATGCTGGAAGGTAAACAATAATGCAACATTTAAACATGCGCCGTCGAAATTCAATAAAATTGCATGTAATATACAGGATATGTTCTTGGGCACAAGCTCCACTTTGACTTCCACTGCTGAAGTTTGCTAGGGAATATATACTCCGTTGACCTCTAGGCCTCTAATCATAAATTTGAGGTATCATTTTCGGATGTCTTAGGCGAGCTCTAATCAAGCTAAAGCATAAAGAAGAATCATGCGTGGATATCCTCGATGTCATCGTTGTGACGAGTCTGATAGGTAACTTCAGCGTGCTTCGTGTTATGGAAGCGGACATATCAAATTCTGAGCAACCAATCGTGGTTTAAATAGGTTGACAAGCGTTTAGGTCGTGCAGTGAATAACAACACACGAAGCTAGAAAGAAAAACCGATGTCCAGGTAGACACGTTCAGGTTGGCACAAACTCCATAAACGGCTTTGCGATCGTGTGGGAGCTGTGGCACACTATACTACTATAAGTTACCTGGGTTGCTTCACTGTAAGTCACTGCTATGTGGAGCTAATTTTTACAAATTAAAAACTGCGTTTTGGGCACCGAAGTTTGATGAATTCATCTGTCACGACCAAGTGACTATAAATAGCAATGGTGAGAAACGGTGGTAGAATACAAACGGTATACAAAAGAGAGAAATAAGTCAAAAGTGAATAAAATTATTCAGCGTGGAATATCAATAGGCAGATGCAAAAACCTGTATGTAGTGACGCCACCAACTGCGCGAGTGCGCCATGTCCAATCTGATCTCTAACCACTGACGCGGACCATAACTAGACAATATCCACAAAGACGACACACACCGGCCTGACCAATTCTTTCTGTCAACTTTTTCATCCGTTTATGCAACGTCATCAGCTGGCCACCAACTGAGTGAAGTAGTAGTATATAATGCGCGTGGAGGAAGGTGGTCAAATGGCATGCCCACGTCATAGCTAGCCAAGATAAGCGGTTCTGTAGTGAATTGGAGATTCCCCCGTTTGACTGTTTGAATTATACGGTTTGATTAGGTATTAGGGAGCTAGTTGGTTTGAATGATGCACACATTTGTTTGAGTTGCACACACACGCAGGCAGACTCATCCGCTGTTCCCCCTTTCGGACGTGACTGGTCATTTTCGCACTCAGCCATGGCCCATATTCCCTACCTAGCTCCATTCTGGCGCTTTATTTTAACCTTAGCTAGTTTAGCAACCTTTCACTAAAAGATTTTCTAGCTTGCTTGTGTATTCTCCCACCTTTGGTTGGCCTTTTATCTGCGTAATTGGTATATAGCCCATGACGAAAGCGCTATATTTCGACTTAAACCGACATTCCAATGGGGTTCCACTTGGTCTTTCAATGGACACCAACGGATGAACCTCAGTATTACCTACCCGCTAGTCCCACCAGAATGAACAATACTGCTCATTCATCGTCGATCAAACACCTCCAACCGTTTTAGAGTAAAGTACCCAAGTCTTTTGTACGTACAACACCGGCCTTCACACAGTGATGCTGGTAGGTTCTAATGTGCTGAATATCCGGCGGCGTTGTGTGTACTTGGAACCAAATACCCGTCCAACGCTAATTATGCTAATCGTCTAAACGTTTTGCCGATTCCTGGAGCTTGGTACCTAAGATAACTAATCATTAAGCTATATAGCACGTTATTTTATAGAAGACCTGAATCTTACACATCTGCATGTCTAATGGAGTCATTTTTATTACGCAGCATGTTTGGGGATTTCGGTTTGCTTTTTCAATATTTCGTCAATCTCCGCCGTTGCTATTATTAGTGCTTAGCCGCATCTGTGAGCTTAGCGTTGTTTTACGACTCATCAGTCTTTATCCCGCTAATGCCTAGTTTCATATTCCAACTGCATTCGAGAGCTGGTCTTTCCATTTCACTACCCTACCGTTAATACAATATCCAATGAATCAGTTGGGACTGGAAATATCCACTCCTGCTAACAATCCGGTACAAATCAGACGATGCTGTAATCTGCGATGTAACAATATAGTAGTATCACCCGGACGAATTCGGTGTACTTATGTCGCGTGTATATTGGAAACGATGCATTCCAGGTCACATTTCAAACTGGCGAATAACAGTTACCTGATGAATAGTTATCTTTATTTGCAACAAGAACTTACAAGTCTGCTGATCGTACAGGCTGTACACAGTCATGCTGATTTTACAGTTGAGTCAACATGCTGTTTCAATTTTTATCCTTCAGATTAAATTTGAAAGCACAGTAATCCACACATTACTTTATCAAGCAACCCTATCGGCGCCAACCATGTCACACTCAGCTGCAACATACTTCTCAGGTTAGCTGGCCGTTCTTCTTGCGTTGATTGTACTACGAGTGGCGGTGATACAACTCATATGTTCTATTTATAATTTATCCTGTTCCTTATTAATGCCTGAATACTTGCACCTTTTTAATCACTGCCTCCAATATTACAGCTTTATGTTTCCTCTGCATAGACACAATTGTTCCACAAAATTGGTCGAACCTAGCCATAGTTTGCTCTCTCATGTGGAGCGGAAGATAATAATCGGAAACAGATTGAAGCAAACGATTGCATTTCTCTACAGAGCACATTGATATGATCAGCAGACATCGTTATGGTTGCTCAGTTAAATTGGCGTAAAAAATGGAACAATTCAGATACTCTCTGTTGAGTTGCGTTGAGCGTGGCCAAACGCAAATCTTATCGAATACAGCGAATAGCTCCAATTTACGCCTACGGTGCACACAAATTTTTATCTGCGAGAGATTTGATGGTCGGCTTTATATAACACATTTTCTCATCGTAAAATATCGGAGTCGCTATCAGGATGAAGCATATAAAGTAATAATCTAATACATACTAAAGGAATTAAGTAAACCGTTTCGACCATTTGCTCCAGTGGACAGCCAACCTCCATTTTAGGTTAAATATAAGTGACACTGAGTACGGCCAACATTTCCCAGACGTTGTCTTGGGAAAATTAAGCTGAAGCAGTAGCAAAATTTAATGGCCATATAATGTGGCTCCATATGGCCATTATTGTTGAGTATGGTAACCGCTGATTAACATTTGAACCTGGTGCGGGATTTGCTAATATCAAGTATGATAGCAGACGATACTAAAGTGACTTAGTCTCGTTGCATCAAACTACATCTGTTTTAAACATTTGGGATTAGAATGTGTGCAACTATTTCCCTTCAAGAATCTCCGGAGCACAAGAACAAGGAACACTGCAGCGGAATAATCTGAATCCAGTGTTCCCATCAGCCGCTTACTTAAAATGTGTGCAAGTATTAAATGTTTGGGAATGTCAGGTCAATACCAGAAATCGGTAAAAATGAAATGCAGCAGCTCGCTCGTACGATCAGTTTATCTTTAACTGAGTTGGACGGGGCAATACCTACGTTACAACTACTACTGTCCTATGAAGTACAAGCGTTTCCATGTTGCTAAGTCTTGTTAGAGTCTGTCACATCTGTTCTGAAGAGCTGAGTGAGAAGGAACAACTGCGTGTCACCTCCGCCATGCGTGAAAATTGCTACCATGATAAATTTATTGCCATGTATGTACGGAAATTAGTGCCGCAAGAAAAACCACCTGAAGTTGCAACGAAGAAAGTATTCATCACACTGCCTTATAAAGGGAAACAACATAGTGGACGTTTCTGCTATCAGTTATGCTACACCGTAGAATGTTGATATTATGAAGCTGAGTTTATGCTACTCCACCGAACCGAAAATATAATACCTGAATCTAATTTAAACAGACCTCACTCTCATGTTACCGTCCCTTGTGTTAACCACGTTAACTGTACTTGCGGTAGAATGTACTTCGGTCAGACAGAGGGGGGGTTGTCTATCTGGAATTCGGAACACATCCCGTGGAACCTATGGTTCAATGGTGTATGATGGGATAAAAAGCATAACTTTACAAGACCCACAGGATGGATATGCAAAAGAAAATTAAAATCAAAATGTTCCAACGTGGAACGTAAAGTATCAGTGGTTAAATCATTGCACTTTAGCAAAGTGTTGTGTATCGTTTATCACTAAGATGAAAATCTAAGAGTCTTTCGAATGTCGTCATGTCTGGTGCGTTCACCACATAGTTTGGTAATGCATTCCAGTGAGAACAGATTCTAAGTGAGAAAAAATACTTTCTACAATTCAAACGAGAGTGTTGCGTCATTAGTTTCAGGTGGTTGCCTCGGTTTTGTTTGTATGGGGCTAGAGTCAACAGTGATGTACATGGATGCTCGCTTTCGGTTAGTATCCGGTATGTGAGAGTAAGATCTCCGCGAAGCCGTCGGTATTCTAATGAGAACACACCGAGTACACGAAGACGCATTTCGTAACTTATACCGGATAGTCCACGCGTTGCCTTTGTGGCTCTTCTTTGGGGCTGTTCCAAGAGGCGGATGTCTCGTTTTAACCATGGACACCAGGCCTGAATTGCATATTCAACATGAGGACGAATGTAGGAGTTAATCAACAATGGTACTAGCCGTCGCTCAAAAGTGCCGAGAGCTCGCCTCAAAAGTCTCAAGTTCAAGTTCGCCACACTTGCTGCTTTCGAACATTGGAGCGAATTTCCAAGACTCTCTTGCACGATTATACCTAAGTCGCGTTCACTAGTCACGTGTTGCATGACGTGTTGCCCCAAAAGGTATGTGTTGACGAAGCTGTTGTGCACCGTCAGCAGGTGGCACTTTGCAGGGTTCAGTGGGAGCTGGTTCTTTTCTGCCCATTCGTTAATCCGGGTCAGATCTTCCTGGAGGTAGACACGGTCGGATGCTGAGCGAATTGCTCTCCATATTTTAGCATCGTCTGCAAATATTTGCATTGGAGATAGAATGTCTGCTGGAAGGTCATTAATGTAGACTAAAAACAGTAGCGGGCCGAGGACGGATCCTTGTGGTACACCACTGGAGACGTAAAGGCTTTCAGAATAGGTGTCGGCTACTCTTACCTTGATTGCTCTGTCGTGTAAGTAGTCTTCCAACCAGGTGAGCAGGGAACCGTTGATACCGTAGGCAGCAAGCTTTTGGAGGAGAAAGAAGTGATTGACCCTGTCGAATGCTTTAGAAAAATCCAGGTATATCACATCTATGGGCACTCCTTCATCAGCCGCCCTGGTCCATAAGTCCCGAGTAATCAGCAAATTGGTGAGACAAGATCGTCTGCGTCGGAAACCATGTTGGGCATTAGAAATTATCTGTTGACTTTCAAAGTATCGCGTCAGTTCATCTGCGATTACCGATTCCATCACTTTTGATAAAACAGGAAGGAGAGTAATAGGTCGGTAGTTAGCAGGATCCGAGCGCTTACCTCCTTTATATATTGGAGTGATAATTCCATTTTTCCACTCAGATGGGAGTGTATGGGAGTTAAGCAGACCCTGGAAAAAGGTTGCAAGTGGTGCTGCTATGGTGGGAGCAAGGGTTTTTAGTACTTTTGGGCAGATCATGTCGATTCCAGGGGCACTGTACTCCCGGAGAGACTGTAGTTTGCTTGCAACAGCTGCTGGAGTAAAGGTGACGCTGGATAAGCCAACGACATTGGTTGGGAGTTGATAGGGCGAAGGTTCCATGACATTTGTAGCTACCGAGCCAAACTGCAAGAGTAGAGCGTTCGCGGCATCCACAGCAGTAGTTGTTAGGCCACTGGCCGTCCTGAGTGGTGGTATTCCGGGCTTAACCTTTCTTTTGCCATTCACAAATCTGTATAGCAGTTTGGTGTTACTCGTAAATTTCAGCACCATATTCTCCTGCCATTCGTACTTATCGACTCTAATGAGTGACGTGCAGTAGTTTCTGATGACTTTGTAATCCTGCCATGTGATATCACATGGGCTTAGCAAATGTTGCCTCCAGATTTCATCTCTTCTGTTGATCCATTTACGTGTTCTGCTCCGGATCCACGTATTGGTCCGGCGCGATGCTCGTAATGGTACAACCTTCGATGCTGATTGTATGACCCAGTTAATTTTGTCTTTCAATTCATTCCACGCGTCATTCGCTGAGCTGTGCGTCTGTAGGTCCCAGTCAACGGTTGCTGCTAAGCTGCGCAGCTTATAATAGTCCGTAATAGTGCGTTGAGTCTCTCTTTCTTTAGCAACAATACTGGCATAACATACATAACCAAATGTTAGGACTGAATGGTCGCTACGGCCCAGTGGAGGATCGTATGCTACTGACTCAACCATCAACTCTTCATTAGTCAGGATTAAGTCCAGGAGTGATGGCTTGTTTGAACCGCGATGTCTGGTTGGTCGATGCACATGGTTATACAAAACTGCCATATCCATGAATTCGAGGAGTTTCGATTTAAATGATGGCCCATTAGGGGACATTGATGCTATTGAAGGAACATTAAAGTCACCCATTATAAGATAGTGAGAGTACTTTTGTGAAACAGCATAGCGGAGGGCGTTTAACAGAATGTTATCGCTGTCTGCTGATGAGTTCGGAGGTCTATAAATAACTGCTAAGAGGCAAGCATCACTCTTCTTCTGTGAACCAACATCTCGACCTGCTAGGTGCAGTCGGCAAAATAGTGCGTCGGGAATAACAAGGGAATTTTCGGTAAGAGCCTCACATTTCAAATAATCTCGATAGTAGAGAGCAACACCGCCACCGCGAGATGGACGATCATTTCGAATGACTGACATCTCACTGAGTTCAATCTCTGGATCAAGTATGTCGTTTGAGAGCCAAGTTTCAGTAACTGCTATGAGGTCCCAAGTTGTTGTTTCATGTCGATGGCGCAGCTCCGAGAGCTTAGAGTACAACCCCTGAGTGTTGGTGTAGCAGCATTGTATTTGTTGACGCATCAGGAGCTCGGTTCGCTGTGAGTGACCGGCACAAATAGTGCCGGTCTGCTGAAGTTTTTTGAAACGGTTGTTTGCACAGTTGGCTGGTTTGAGATAGGTACAATTGAGGCTGGCTCATCTGTATCTGAGGTCTGTACTAATTGAAGGAATGGTCTTAACCGTACTTCTGGTGGCCCAAGTTTCCTGTTGTCATGCCATGCTTGGATTGCCACTGATACCATTTCGGGCGCAGCCAAGGTAACTTTCAAAATTCGTGGCCCGCTACCTTGGTAGTTTGTGGAAGCAATTAGACGGGTGACGTCAAAAGCCACGACATTCTTCATGTCGTATAGTTCTGCGATGTACCGCCATTCTTCGATGTCGTGCTTCTGTCGTTCACTGCTATCGTCATGCTTCAATTCTGGCACACCATGAACCAGTACCACTTTCTTCATCTCATTTTGACGTGACGAACTAGGGTTGGATTTACGCTTCTGTCTTTC